AATATTACACAAATGCCATAAGAGACACATTTCTGTGGTGATATTCCTCTACTGTAATTTAACATTTAATGACTCACAAGCTCATGAACAGGTTCAAGGTTGTGTTTTCTCCACTGGATCAGAAGATCTATATAACTGGCTCCATCAGTGATTGCATGCATACAAGGACCATGGAAAACTTGTTCCATGAAGTGACTATATTGTTTAAATAACATCTTTGTTTAAAAACATTTTATGTTATCAATTCATACACAGACAGGAGCATCAGAGTCACCAAGTAATATAGGCTCTGGTAAATTCCCTTTCTTCAGAAGTTTATTCTTTGAGTTTACTTCTTGCTTTAAATAATGCCCTATTCCAGTGGAGCAAAACCTGTTGGGGAATGTTATTAAGGGATTTTTCAGTTTGCAGCCTCAGAGAAATAAAATGTGACAAATAATAACATTGACAAGGTTTGCATGATCACAGAGTGGGAAATAAGCCATTGCAATTTATTTTCTCCTGCGTTCAAGTCAGGGGGATTAACATAATTATCCTTGGCAGTGCAGCTTGTTGTGTCATGGGAACCCTGACAGAGTGGCTTGTTGCTATGATCCCAGTCAATAAGCCAGTGATTGTGTTCAGACAGTATGATAATCCCACCCAGGTTGAGTACAGGTTGAATGTAGATTGTCATTGAACCATGGGCTGAACTGAAATGTGGATTATTCTAGCTATGCTAGTAAATCATGCCATGCTAAGAAACAACTCATGAAGCGAATACATGGTTTGTTGTTGGGTTGTGAACTGTTCGCCTTTGTTATATGTCTGGGTTCAAACAGCACAGTAACACATGTTTCAACAACAACCCACAGTTCAATGGGTTGTTCGGTTGTCTGACCCCAGTCACTGAATTCACACCATAATCCACACTGCTGAATTATGCTAATCCCCTAGCATGCAGTTGCCATGCACAGAGGTGGAAATGAACTACCATGGGTTATTCCTTCTGTAATTGTGCAAACCACCTTTGTTTGACCTTCTCTATTCCTTTTAACCTTCTCTTTTGTCTTTATGGAAATATATGGCCTACGATGGATGGGCTGTGCTCTTTCTTGTTTATGCTGTTGCAGGCAAATGTTAAATATAAGTGTTAAAATAATGTGCCATGTTTTTAACTATGTAGCATATCATGTTTTCCAGAATACCAGATTTTTAAAAGGAAATTGCTCTAATCATACTAATATGCAGTGAGATTTTGAAAATTAGTTTTAAGTCAAAATGTACAGTGGTACCTTTGCTCACAAACTTCATCCATTCCAGGACTCTGGTTGTGACCCAAATTGGTCATGAGCCAAGTCAAATTTCCCCATAAGGATCAATGTAAATAAGGTTAATCCATTCTGCAACTATTTTTTTTACTCACAAAAATTTGAAGCAAAGTAACAAAGAACAACAAAGATAGCAGCCATCTCCCCCCCGCCCCCATGATCATGCAGGAAAGGCGGGCGCGCTTGCAGTCATCACCCAATGCAGAGTTCGTGACCTGTGGCAAATTTTTTAATGAAATTTGTGTTCGCAACCCGATTTGGTCATGAACTGAAGCATTTGTGAGCTGAGGTACCACTGTATTTCCAGAAGAAAATTCAAGGTAAAGTGTATTTAACAGCAAAACAGGGAAGGTTCTGAAAATTGAGATTTATCTATTTATGTTATTTAAATTCTATTATAGGGTTTCCCCATAGTGTGAAGATCTTAAAGTATTTGCAGTTGTTGTATCGAAGAACACATAATGTCAAAGCTTTAATTACGCTGAACAGATTGCATTAGACAGTATTACAGAGAAAGTAATCTTGAATGGATCATTCCTATCTAGAAAAAACATAATTGCTACCTCTTATGTATAAAGTAATATCTAAGAAATAAGTATACATATGAAGATATTTTTAAACATTTTAATTTTTAAAGTAATTACAATACAGTACAGTACAATGCAATACAAACCCATAACAACAAAAATTAGGAGGAAAAAACCTTACAGTACAAATAAGTTGTATCATATCAATCAGTCAGAAAATAAATACTTACATATGTATTTAAATAACATTTATTTAAATATAAACAATATATTTAAATAATATTTATTTAAAAGTGCAACCTCCCACTGAGACCTTCAGTTACATGGCAGTTACCTATTCATATTCATATACACCCATCTTTTACTTCTTCTTCTATCTTTCCCCTCTTTTGGGACAACCCTCCTCCATCCAAAATTGCATTAACTCATATGAGGCTTTGGTATACCCTTTCCTTTTATTGATACATGTTCAATGAACAGCCTCCAATGGCATTAAGTTTATTCTTCACCAATATTTTTTTCACCATAATATTACATGTTAACTTACCATTAACAGCTATATTCCAAATTTCTTTATACCATTCACTTAATTGGAAGTCCCATGTTTTCTTCCAGTTCTTTGCTATTATTAATTTTACAGGTGTTAATAAATTTGTTATTAATTCTTTAATATTACATCTTTATTTCTTTTCATGAATTTATGACAATAATGCAATTCCAGGATCTGGTTCAATATCTAAATTCAATATTTTGCTTATTTCCTTAAAAACTATTTCCTAAAATTTCCTAATACTTTCTCATTTCCACCACATATGGAAATAGGTACCCACTTTTGACCACATTTCCCCTATATATTGATGTACTTATTATTCATATGTTACCCATGTCAGATACCATTTCCATACTGAACTCTAAAAATGTTCCTTAATTCTAATTGACAAACTTTTTAAATACTCTCTTATCCCATATTTTCCCCATTTTTCTTTACTTATATCCCTTCCTAAATCTATTTCTGATAAGACCTTAAGAGGGTCATACTGATTTTCTGTATCTAATAAAATCTTATAAACCTCTTGGTTACATAATGTCTTGTTTCTTATATAAAACAGTCTCTTCAAATTTAGTAATATCTCTACATTTACCATTTTTCTTTATTCATCTTTAGTACATTGTTCTAATTGCATAACATTAAAGCAGGTTAATTTTTCTTTTCCTATTAATTAATATAAATCTTATAAATAGGAAGATTGTGCTGACCATTTGATAATTTCCAAGCAGCAGGTAAATAATTTAAAAGAGTGTGTACATCCATGGATATTAATGATGTTCCAATACAAAGTTCATCTGTGTAATGATTCTCCCCATCCCACACAAAAAGCTACTGGACATTGCCAAAAAACATTTAAAGGAAACAGCCGCAGTGGACTGTGCCAAGAATTAGATGAATTAAACAATCTTTTGTTAAACAGACAATATGGTGCCCAGTAGATGTGAAACAAAAACATTTTAGCTGAAAAAGATGTAGTCTAAGATTCATGGACATGACCGGTAGATGCCAAAGTGGTGATTCACTGATTCAGTATTTTGTGATGCTGCGTGAAACAGTTTCCAAATGTGCCACCAGATCCAGAAAGGTTGAGAACTTTAATAATACCAGGTCTTGCTTTATTCTTCTTTTGACTACCAAAACAGACAAGGGACTTGACCAGGAGAGACTACAGCTATTAGGTAGCTCTAAGTGTGTACTTCTGAAAGAGCAGAAACAGACACGCACAATTGCTGGGAGATTTTTAAAAAATAAATAAATAAATAGCACCCCGAGTAGGCTTTTTTTAAGGCTGGAGGGGGTGGAAATTAGCAGAAAACATAAAGGGATGGTGATCAGAGTGGGGAAGGGGCAGGGCAGGTGAGTTCTGCCTCACAAGACATCAGGATATCTGCCAAAGCTGGGAGAAGGAGGCCTGAGTGTAAAGGAGAAGAAACTCCTGTGAGTGGGACAGACTGTCAAGTGGGCAAACCACGGGTTGTTCAGTGAACAGCCAACCCTCCATGGGCTATTCGTACTCGTAGGGTGGCTTAATGTGGTGAGTGAACCTTCCCATTCTTTAATGAAAGAGCTGATGTGCACTGGATATCTGACTTTGCAATATTATAGTGAAAAGGGGACAATGTAACTCTTTATATTCTCCAGAGTAATGTAGATTACAGTGTACTTTTTTCATAACTTCATTTGCAACTATTTTAATAGGTGAATTGTTAGGTTTTAATAATTTTTATTGTCATTAGCTGCTGCTATATTATGATTTTAGTGCCAGATATTATTATATTGATTTTATTCTACTTTTTAAAAGTAGTTTTAATTGGCTCAATTTATTGTATACTAATTTTATATCCCCCTCTCATCTTATGTTTACCTTATTTTGTTTCATTTTATTCTTAGCTTCTTATTTGTCTTATTGGTATCTTATTGCTGATTTTATCATTATTGTTGTTTTTACTTGAATTGTTAAGTTCTCATGGTGTTTTAATTGCTGTGTGTATGTTGTGAGCCACCCAGAATGCCTTATGGCTTATGCAGTGGCATACAGATCAAAATAATAATGACAACGATGAGAACTATTTAAAAGGTTAACACATATGCACACAAGGACATAAGAAAAGCCATGTTGGGTTTGATCCACGGTCCACCCAGTCCAGCACAAAGTTCACATGCTGACAAACCAGCTGCCCACAGGATCTCTCAAGTGGGATGTGTCCAAGAGTTGCTCCTACCCAGGCTTCTCAGCAACTGGTGTATGCAGGCATGTCGCTTTTGATAATGGGGCCACCACTTAGCCAGTAAACCTAGTAGCCTTCAATAGGCTCTGCCATACCTTTCATGAAAATCCTAGTAGCCTTCAATAGGCTCTGCCATACCTTTCATGAAAATGATACATGGAGATTGCGATTACATTGGCTCAGGTTTTCTTGTTAAAACTTACAGCTATTTTCTGCTACGGGGTGGTGTTTTGTCTTGTTTTTGGTAGATATGATATGCTGTAACAAAAGTGGTATCACAGTAAATTTTAAAGATTTATTTAGTAAATACAAATGAAATACATTTCTCCTTCCCTGTATGCTTGCTATTCAAGGGAAATAATATTTGTGATAAAATTTATTTTAGGAAAGCACAAGAAGGAAGAAAAAAAGTTGTTCTGGCCGGATGTGTTCCACAAGCCCAGCCACGACAAGCCTACTTACAAGGCCTGAGCATTATTGGGGTAAGCATTCAGTGGTTTGGAATGCTGTTTGAGCTTGGGCCCAAAACTTGTATTCTAGATATTTTATAGTGTGATCTGGAGGTTATCTTTTCTTGGACATAAACTTGTAAATCTGATCTCCGCAAGTTACAGGAAACCAAATTCCAGCATATCATCAGGAAAAACTTGCTGAATTTTAAAGCAATGCAACCATGGAACCAATTCCTACAGCAAGATAGCCATCTGTTAGGGATGCTTTAACTTGGGAATTCTGCATTAAGCAGGAGATGGGACCAAAGACCTTATTGGCCCATCTCTCCTATTCTGTGATTTTATAAGCCCTGGTGGCTTATGTTTAAGCCATTCTGCATACCAGGATCCATTTTGCCAAATTATCCACAGGTGCACTCTGTGGTATCATTCAAACTTAGCATGGCTAAGATCCAGTGTGGGTCAGTGGTTAAAAGCGCAGGTCTGGGACACAGGAATTCTGGATTCTAGTCCCCACTCAACCTTGGAGCCAATTAAATGACTTTGGGCCAGCCCCAGGCTCTCAGCCTAAGAAAGAGGAAGAGCAATGGGAGGGATGAGCATAAGAACTGGTCACTTGTGCCCAGTCTAGCAATATAAATTCTTGGATCTGGGAATATTATATCTCTGTGCAAAAGAGGCCTCTTGAAAACAATGCAGTGATTACTAGAAGTCAACATGGATTTCCTAAGAACAAATCCTGCCAGGCCCATCTGATTTCATTCTTTCATTGGGTAACCCTAGATAGCAGGAAAAAAATTCCTGACTGTTAGAGGAGTATGAAAATGGAACCGATTACCTATGGGGGTTGTGGGCTCTCCCACACTAGAGGCATTCAGGATGCAACTGGACAGCCATCTGAAAGGGATGGTGTAACTCAGTGTCCTGCTCTTGGGCCCAGTGGCCTTCTGATTCCTTCCAACTCTTCTGTTTCATGATTCTATGAAATTCCTCCCCACACCAACCCACCCCATTTTTGGGCTGAGAAACAGGAGGAATAATTTCTCAAAATATATCCAGAGACAGGAGAAGAATCTCCAATAGTTTATCACCATTGGCATGTAGGGCAGAGGTTGGAGAGCAGCTTCTTTCTTTTTCCTCCAGAAGAGTCTTTGCCTTTTTGTACTGTCACTCCAAGTACCAAACAGCCAGCAGCTGTTCCAGAGCCTTCTCTTTTCTATCAAATTGAATGAGAATGGTAAAACTGCAGGAGAAATTTTCATTGTAGTGCCAGAATATTACACTGGAACCAGGGCGTTATCTATCCATCCTTATAATAGAAGCAGACTTGAATTCTTGAAACTAGATGCTAACAGTGGTAGACAAAGGAGGTTACAGTTATAGGAGGCATGTGTGTGTGTACCCATGCAAGTGTGTACAAGCACACTCCATTTAAAGCGGTGGCTAATATTTTTTGACATATGCGTTACAAATCAAATCCAAGGACAAAACTCTGCCGCCTAGAGTGTATTATGCTGCAGTAGCAAATGCAGGCCCCCCTGCAGTTGTGGAATGGGCATTTGCTTGCGGGATACTGAGCTGGGGAGTTGACTCAAACATGGCACAGGAGAGGGAGGCAGGAGTATAGACCAGAATCTGTCCCATAGCCAAGGCTTCCTCTGACTTCTACTGACTGGGCAACTTACTGTTGACCCATGCATTCATTCATCCATTCTCTCTTTTTCATGGTATCTGTGTATCGCACATGCTAAAAGCTGTTTCTTTTTGTTATGATTTTGGTGATTAATATGGTCCTTTACCTTGTATATGTGTTAAATGGATGAAGTGTATGTGCCCTTGATCATGACTCCCTGTCTTACTTGCTTTTCATATGTTGAACAGGAATAGAGACCCATACAGTAAATCTACATTTATTTTTTGTGTGAATTAACTACCTGCAATGCACATATCTTGCATGCTCATAAAACTGTTTATTGCTCTGGTGTTTTACAGGTTCAGCAGATAGATCGTGTAGTAGAAGTGGTTGAGGAGACTATCAAAGGTAAGCTTTTCTATTGAAATAACGTGTTTCTTCATTCTTCCCAAAATATATGATATGATAACATTGGTAATAAATGTCCCTAATGAAACTTCCAGATGAATATGTCAAAGGATGCATTGCAAATAATGACTGAATAAGTAAACATGTGCCGGGTGTTGTATATGTTACAAAAACACAATGCAGAAAGCTTGGCTACATTAATATAGAAAGATACAATATTAGATCTTAATAAACTTGTCCTTTATGTTTTTCATGTATTTCAGTACTGTGTCTAGTGCTGCTATGGTTTTGGTTTGTTTATATAAAGATCATGACATGAAATTTTTCAAAGAAATCACTTGTTTAGTTTTTTTCATTGTTTAATAAATTAGTTTTTCGGTTCTGGTCTCACTCCATGCCTTTTTCACTGCCCTTCATTCTGAAGAACTGTGACTGAGTGAAGTCTCTTAAAGTTACCAAGTTCCACCTAATTCATGGCTACAGAATTGTCTTTAACCATTAACCATTAACTAATTTGTTTTATGAACATTTTTATTTAAAGTAGCTCCTTCATGGTAGCTGATTTCCATTTTTTTAAATAATACATTCTATTGTCCATGTGCATCTGTTATAAAGCAAGTCTGGCCGGTAAACTAGGACAAGGTGACTAAAAGGTTAAGAGATAAATTGTATTTTGTTGGATATGGTAAGCACAGGTTATATGGTTGAATTTGGGTCTTTGGAGGTATACATATAGTCCATATAAAATTAATATTTAGTGTGAGAGAGAACTGTGAAAGGAGGTATGAAAGACTGACTTCTCAGCAAGAAACTGAAAAGGTTGAATTATTTTTGCAATCACAAGCAAAATGAAAACTATTAATTCAGCTCCTGAATTCAGTAGATTATGCTTAATTTCATTTATATCATCATCAACAACAAAGTGAGAGAACTCTTTTGCAGTAAAACAACTTCCAAGAAACGGAAAATACTGTATATGCAGATATACAAGGCAACTTGCTTGTCAATATTTTGGGCTTATTTAAATGTTTGTCATATGTTTTATTTATACATATATTTATAGGCTGCCTATAATGTTGGACATATAAGACAACCTTCCCTTTTTGCTTCACTATTTTCAGTTTCAAGGGCCTCTTATATGCTGGTATATATGGCTATTTATCAGCTGGAAGCTTCTTTATTCTTGTGATATCACGTTACCCTATTCTACCTAGTCATAGTCATGTTCCCGCTTTGATTTCACTCAAGAAGTTTTTGTAAAATTGGAGGCTAGCAGTGGCCTGCAAGAGTGGCCTGCGGTTGGTTGGTTGGTTGGGGAGGACGGCTGGTGTCGTGGATGGGTGGGCATAAGGGGGCTGGGTGAGAAGAGGCCCATGTGAGCAGTGCTGAGTCTCTCCACAGACAGCCACGTGCGGGATGCTGCCCTTCCCAGCTGCCCCTCACTGCAACTGGCCCAGAATGGTGTACTACCTCCCCCTCTACAGTGAGGGTGAGCACCGGACTCGAGACCAAGTCTGTGGCCCCATGCAAGTCTCTCACAACACAGGACAAGCTCCAATGCTGCCAGTAAAATGTTTTTAACTTTTTTCTTAATTAAAAAAACTTGTCAATACAGTTGTCTTTATTATCTATCCCTTCTTTAAAGAAAAGGATGAATATAATATGATGACTATTTTTCACCTGGCACATAAGATGACCTGCTTTTTTGCCTTCCTGTTTTCAGTGTCAGGGTTATCTTATATGCCAATATATACAGAATCCATGTAGTATTGTAAACCACTTAGAGGGCCTTTGGGCCAATTTGGTGGAAATAAGTTCAATAGATAGATAGATAGATAGATAGATAATCCAAATTTCAACCAGAGGTTAACAAGTAATTTAAGTTATTTCTTATTGGTCTTCAGGTAGTAGTTCAGATCCAGAAAGGCAAAAAGAAATCTCTTTGCTTTTTATATGCTTTGGAGTAGAATCAGAGGAAGATGCTTTTCTTTCAAGAAGGTTATTGCATTTTGACAGTTTAATTCTCTCTATCTAATAGACAATACTCTACGAATTGGCTTCAATTTACTCCTAGTACAGAATTAAGAACTGATCTCAGATGTTGGTAATAGGCATATGCATATGTAGCAACATCAAATTGTGGGTTACTACTTGCTGTGCTGTATGAACCCTGCAATGTTAACAAGCCATGGATTCGTAACTGTAAACAATCCATAGTTCATTTCCCAACAACAAACTATGCACCCCCTTTCTGAATTGTTCGTGGTTAATAAACCATGATTTGTTTGCAATGTCTAGGTTCACACTATGGAATTGCCCACAGTTCAATGACAGCACACATTAAACCTTGAGAATGGGTTCATTGCATATTGTTGCATTATGTGAATTTGCTTCCCCTGTACTCCCTCCTAGTGTAGCTTTTCTCAACCTGGCATCCAATGGAAGCTTTCCAGGATTCCACATTAGAAGCGTAAAATTTCTTGGAAAACGGTATTATTTGTTTTGGAGAGGGGTGGAATGAATTTGGTGGGGGGGGGCAGGTGAATTGAAAATATACAGTGTTTATTTTGCTGAACACACCTTCCAGATCAATTATAATTTTCAATTGCCATTGAAATTAACAAGTTAAAATATTCAGTTATTAATGTTTAATTATTGTTTTATACTTTTAAATTTAATATGCCAAATATATTTTTGAGCATAAAAGTGGGTATTATTCTAATAGAAGTATTCCAAGCTGCAGAGACTGTAGTCCAAATCATAACGAAAATATGCCAGCAAGTATGGAAAACAGAACAATTTCCCACAGACTAGAAACATTCAACATACATTCCAGTCCTCAAGAAAGGAGATGCAAATTAGTGCAGCAACCATGGGACCATTGCACTAATTTTCCATGCAGACAAAGTGATGCTCAAGGAGTTGCAACAAAGAAGTTTACTCTAATTGGAATGAGAAATGCTGATGTTCAAGATGGATTCCAAAAAGGAAGAGAAACTCAGGATCTTGCTACAAATATGCACAATGTCAGTCTATGCTTTATAGACTAGCAAAGCCTTTGACTGTGTGGATCACATGAAGCGATAGAATGTTCTGAAAGAAATACTTGCTTGTCCTGATGTGTAACCTGTATGGTGGACAAGAAGATACTGTTAGTTCAGAATGCAGAGAAACAGAATAGTTTCCGATAAGTAAAGGCATTAGACAAGGCTGTATTCTGTCCCTTTGTTTATACAATCTGTACACAGAACATTTAAGGAAAGATGGATTAGGCTCAGAGGAAGGAGTGAAAATTGACAGCAGACACACCAACAGTTTAAGACACACAGATGATGCTTTCTTACTGGCAAAAAGCAGGGATGACTTGAAACAACTACTGATGAATGTGACAGAAGGAAAAGCAAAAGTAGGAATGCAGCTGAACATTAGGAAAACAAAAATCACAGCTACAGAAGAATTACAGAACTTTACTGTCAACAATGAAGACATGGAAATCACAAAAGATTTTGTATACCTTGCCTCAGTCGTCAATTCAAGTGGAGAATGCAGCCAAGAAATTCCAAGAAGAATGAGAGTTGGAAGGGCACCAATGAAGGAACTAGAAAAGTTCATAAACTGTAAAGATGTTTCACTAGAGACCAAAGCCAAGATTATCCACATAATGGTATTCCAACCACTATGTATGGGAGTGAAAACTGGACAGTGAAGAAAGCTGATAGGAAGAAAGTTAATGTATTCAAAACATCAACTGGAGAAGAACTTTGTTCAGACCACACTGGACTGACAGAAAGACCAACAAGAGAGCCAGTGTGCTGTAGTGGTAAAGAGCATGGGACTGGGATTCAGGCGATCTGGGTTCTAGACTCTGATCAGTCATGAAGCCAACTGGGTGACTATAGGCTAGTCACAGACTCTTAGCACAGCCTGCCTCACAGAATTGTTGTTGTGGTGATAAAATTGAGAGCAGGAGGAGGAGGAAGAGAAAAGCTGCTTTGAGTTCTTCAAAAAGAGAAAAGGTGGGATATAAATCAAATAAATAAGTCAAACCAAACCAGAGCTTTTCCTAGAAGCAAACATGACAAAACAGAGGCTGTTATACTTCAGACACATCATGAGAAGGCAAGGCGATTTTGTCTTGGAGAAGACAATCATGCTGGGGAAAGCTGAAAGGAGAAGAAAAGGAAAACCAAAACAAGGTGGATTGACTGTATTAGGGAAACCACAAACTTGAATTTGGAATTGCTGATCAGGGAAGGCATGGATAGGGTATTTTGGAAGACTTTCAGAGGATTGCCATAAGTCATTGCCAACTCGATGGCACACTGTAGCAGCAGCAGCAGCAGCAGCAGCAGCAGCAGCAGCAGCAGCAGAGCAAGACTGTTCTACAGCATCTGCTGTCCTTTATAAGGAATTGGTTGGGGAGCAGTTTATGGAAAACTGGCCTAAAAGAAAAAAATACTGAGTGGTTATTTAGCTGTGGATGTCTATGTTACCTATTGGGAATGCTAACCAAGCATATTTAATTTAAGCAAACTCAACCTATTATTTGAAGAGTTATGTTTTATTCTCTTTTGTAAATAATGTCTTTTAATGACACTATAATGGCACTATATTTTGTGTTTGTGTAAAAGACAATTTCAAGTGGTGTTGTCCATCCTGGATACTTATAAGAGTCAGATACTAAATTACTTTTCAATTTGGAAGTTTATTTTGGTGGCAGCAGCTAAAGATTTTACAGCAGAGGTAGCATTCGTGGAGTGCTCTGGCTGAGAACTATATAAAAAGAAACTTAGCAGTGAGTTCTATAGATACAATCTAATTTAAAAGAAAAAACATGTAGGCAAAATAGTCCACATGTTCTACAGCATGTGATGCCAGTGAAAGTATAATATACAATATTTTTCTCTTTTGAACTAAATTATTTGTATATTACAGCTTCTAACTTGAAGAACCCCAGAAACATGAGCTTCAAGACCAAAACTGTCAAGAATGCATATTTTCATCCTCTATTATAATACACTGACTAGCCACGTATGAGGAATCTCACAGTATCTTGAAATATCTATCAGTCAAAGACAGATAAATGCTGTTAATAAGAGATAACAATGGTGGTAGTCTCAGAGAATTTTAAAAAATTTACCTGTGACTACAAAATTTCTTCCTATAAAATTCTTCCTATTATGCAATTTTTAGAAATCATTTTTCAGGAGAAAAGTTTAATAGAAATATATGAATTCCTCATCTCAAGCTTTTTTATAATCCTAAAAAAAATCATGGTCCAATGCTGTTATTTGGGAAAATGGATGTAAAAGAGTTCCTTAAAGGTGAAATTATTTTTGCCCTGAAATTTGCACTCCTTTAAATCTCTGTGGCAGGCCACTGACCATGCTGGCCAGGAGTGATGAGAGCAAGTCAAAAAGATCTGAAGGTACCATGTTGGGGAAGGGTTTCCTTACTTTGTTCTACAGAAAGCTTACACACTGTTTTGTGGCATTTGGTTGGTCAAACGCTTTGCTGAACTGTTGGTTTTAGAAATAATGACATTCTCTAAGCTGCCCAGAGCAACTTTGGGGTACGGAGTGGCACAGCAATGGGAATAAATAAATAAATATCCATTATTAACCTAACCAAATGGAACTCTGCAGACTTTGTAGTGCTGAGATCTCTGCACTTCTACATTCCCATATTTATTTTTATTTATTTATTTATTTAAATTACATTTATAAACTACACTATAGCTTTACATGGGCTCTCTGTACAGTTCTTTTAACACAAAGAGGCACTATGGAACACATCATGGCAAGATAGTCCTGCAAGGACATTGGTGCTAAATTGTGAGGTTAATGTATATGTATTGCAGCTCATTGATATAAAATCAGATCTGGTTCTTTGGATACTGCAAATATTATTAGACTTAAATGTTTCTACTCATCCCATCAAGCTTAATCTAGAAAAAATGAATAGGAACCTTTATATAAAGTGTGTTGCTTATGGGGTTAAGGGGAGACTAGACTTTCCAGTTGAGTAAAACTTGTTTCAGTCCTGTGTTTTCACAAAACGTTTTGTGAAATGGGTCACTGGACAGGACTGTTGAAAACAAGTCAAAGGAAATTACTTCATATAACCTCCCTAAGTTTAAGTCACATTAACCTGTCTAGTAATATGGTCTATCTGTTCCCAGTTTAAATATTAACAAATGTTTGCCAACTGTTTACTTACCATACCAAGTCAAACTGTTATTATTGGTGAGTTGCTAAAAGCCCACAAGATGATCTGTGCATAAATTGCATAGACCAAAGTATGTACTGCCATTATATCTGCCAGTCATAAGTATAAGCACAAAATTGCTCTCTCACATACCCATTTAGTCATTTTGTACATGGTTTTCTTTCCTGCAGTGAGATCACAGCCCTTTTGAAAAGGCATATGCAATTAATATATGAAGAATGTACTTGTGTATTCTGCCAAATGTGCATGCATTGGAAAGAAATGGCTCATTTCAGTTTCTTAACACCTGTACATAATGGCAAAATAACCAGGTACTTTCTCAGAACACAGTATTTTACCATCATTATAGGTATTTCTTCATTGTATACAATTTCTACATTGTATATTCACTACGTATATTGTAGTGAAACCCATGTAAGAAAACACAATGAATAATACATCGCTTGCTTGTGTGTGCTGCCAGGTAATATTATATCCTACTTTTATAGATATATTCTAGCATAATTCAAGGGGGCTTTGCTTCTGTGCTTTTCAACTAAACTTTGAAAGGAAACAGTAACACATACGATACCACTGAATCCATGAAAAAGCAAACTGGATGAATGGCTTCAGAGCTGAATGAGTACGCTGTCACAATCATTCGTAAAACTGATGAGTAGTTTGGGTTAACTGGCATAATGTTATCCTGTTGGGGCAAAGTAGCCCTTTACCAGATTGACCAGTGCTGTTGTAGTCTACATATATGGAAGTAGTTTGGGTGGTTAGAAAACTGCTTACGAGTAGCTAAACTCTTGCAGCATATTGGTTTAAGAGGTCCTGCTGTCCTGCAGTGCAAGATGCAGTTTTCTTACTATTTCATTTTAATGTATGTAAAGAAAGCTTTGTTTGAAGCTTCACATTTGTCAGATGTGAGGGGTACCTCTTGTGCAAAGGATAGCTAGTAGTATAAAAAGCTCTCTCTTCTTGGCTTGCAATCGGGAATATAATAGTCACAGGTCATTACACACCTGATTCAGATTAGTTAGTTTTTTGCCCATATACACAGCCTCTTCACTCATGCATTTGCAAGAGCTGCAGCTAAATCAAGAAGTTTCCAGCTAATCAGTGTCAAGTGCACATACCCTTTTCTGTTCTGCTCATTGTGGACATGAATAAAATGTGGAAATATCCAGTTAACCATAGTTCCTAGCTTTGTTCACACACTAGGAAGCTATGTTTGCTAGCTTTTGAACAAGCAGTGGGCTTAAACCAACTTCAAACTGCGATTTAATATTTTGGCCTTTTCTCAAGATGATATGATAGCCAACCAGATCTCAACAGAGCCAGTGTTAACTTTTGCTTTTCTGACATGAAATAATGCTTTGGGTGCAGCTCTTAGCACATATGGCTAGTATTGATCAATGAAAAGGTTAAGATAGAAACTAAGGTTTGTTCACTTTCTAATATAGCAAATATAATATATTTGAATATGTAATATTTTGTTATCTTGGCCTTTTTTCCCAATTCAAATTCATTGTTGGAAATTAAAATAGCATTTAATTGGAAACTGTCTCTAAGCATTACTAAAATGCTTAAAGACAGTTTCTAGAATTTCTTTTCTAGAATTAGTTTTAACTGTACTGACTTGAAGGAATATTTTAGTATTATGGAAGATAAATATTTTGAAGACTTGTGTTTGTATTGGATCTGGTATTGGTAAATTAACTCAGTTAAACTACCAATGGGCCCTTGTATCCATGATCATGTCACTGGTATTGTAATTAAAAATTTATCTCACAAGTTGAGATAAATTGTGAAAATGTTCCCTCAACTGAATCTTTTTGCATTGTGGAAACTTAATGAGAATGCTTTCTCAAGTTGATACTGTCAGTTTAATCATACTTTCTTCTTTTTTTGGTTCTGGGGTCTAACACTGTTTGGTTTGGTTTGGTTTGGTTTGGTTTGCCTTTTTAATTCCTTAAAATCCAGCAAAAATACTTCTATGGTAATTGTATTTTTTTAACTTGTTTTTTTCAGGATTTGACTTTATCTTGTTTTCACCCAACAGAATAAGAAAACATAATGTAAAGAGCTAGGTTTTTTTTTTAGCTTACATTTTGATATTTGATTCTTCCTTAACCTCGTAAATGGTTGGTTACAAGAAAACTCATTATTCTGTTTTTGTTTAATGAAATACTTGGGTAGAAGATATTAAAACAAAAGATTTTTATGTATAATGGTTCCATTTTTTTATTTGAAGGTCACTCAGTGAGATTGCTGGGTCAGAAAAAAGATAATGGAAAACGTTTGGGGGGAGCTCGACTGGATTTGCCAAAGATTAGAAAGAACCCACTGATAGAAATAATTTCCATCAATACAGGGTAAGCATCGTTCAAACTGACATAAAATATTCAATACTGCCTAGAAATTCAATTTCATTTTTGTCCATTCTTAATACAGAGCTGCCTCTGGACACACCATAAAGAATGATTTAGGGGAAAACAGGAAACATCAAGGGTATTCAGCACATTAAAAATATTCAATGCATTAATACCTTAAAACAAACTACCTACTTATTTTCTTATATTTCACAGTTTAAAAAACTAGGCATTTTTCTGTGTAGGTTCTGGCTCACATTATTTCTGATTTTCCTGTAAATTTAATTCAATGTTGTTCTAGATCTCTTCGGTATGAAATCCAATTCACTTGCCCCATATTATAAACAGTTCAGAATGACCATCAGGTGACTTTTCCCCTTAGTATTCACAAAAGAGTATAAGAAACTGCCCATGAGTAATGTGTAGTTTTACCATGTCAGGGGATGATCAGCTCAGAAAACATACTTATATGAATCAGGTTGAGGAAACATTTGAGAACCATCTGTCTTTATGTATTTTCAGACATTAAAAAAATCAGAAGTATGACTTGAAAACAGCAATGAAAGTGATTGTGTTTTTATGTGTACCTCCAAAGTTACTGATCTTAAGTGAGATGAAACTGCAGAACAATATCATGTGCTCTCTAGTCTGTGACATGAGAACTAAGTACTACAATATAAATCACTTGTGTGAAAGGTGACCTGACTACAAACTTCCTTGTTTTTGTGTTAAGGCAAATGTCATATGCCTTATTGTTAAAGGTAGCCTAAAATATATATTTAAATAAATAAAATAAGCAAGCAAATAAATAAATAAATCTGATATCTTTTATTATTAGTTCAAGGGCATGTCTGCATAAAATAACACTGGAGTCCTCTTTCTTTTCCAGTCCCATCGCCATATATTGCTTTCTTGATTAGGAGATGAGGTCCAGCTCTCTCAAAATACAGCATTTCCAGCTAGCTAGTGTAGACTTGGAATATAGTTCTGAACTCCCAAGTTACCAAATAGGATTACTGAGGCAGCATCTGAGAATCAAACCATCTTGGCGAAGGAGGGGAACAGTGTGGAACAGGGAGGGGTGGAGAAGAAGGGGATATTTTAAAAAGATGACAGGCTAAATGAGCAGACTAATTAAGTAATGTAGGTGTTCCTGCCATCAGACCCCTAAGCAGCATGAGCCACCCTGAGGATGGAGCCAAGACCTTTTGTTGGGAACTAAAGAGGCAGCTATTTTTGGCATGCCTTCCAGGGCCAGGGTGGTACCATCCCTTCAGATGATATTGATGAGGCATAGAAAGTGAGATCTACAGAGAGTAGGCAAAGGAAAGAAGAGCTTTGCTCAAGACCACCATCTCTGAGTGTTCAGGCAGACTCTGGAAACCAAGGGGTCTGAAAGTGCTGGGGACATGAAAGAGAAGCCAGAAGAGCCTGTCCCAATCCTTGCCCTGTGGCACGACAGCAGAAGGGCTAGCCAACTAGAGGAACTGCATAGATCTGGAAGGCATGCCTATCTTCACAGGGGTGCACCTGGATAGGTGGGCCCAGGGTTACTGCAAAGGAGGGTTCCTGAAAATAGTCCATGATCAGAGACTCTTCCTTGGAAATCAAGTGCATTTGCCAAAGAACTGCCTGTTGTATGAAGAGAGGAAGGGTGGGGGGTCTGGCTCTCAACACCTTTCAGAAAATGAAGGAGGGAGTGGATAATTTTAGTTTAGATTCAACTTTTCACATGGACAGAAGCTACTCCCATTTCTTCTAGAGAATTGTTACTTTCATTTATGCAGCTTATAAGCCTGTCAAGCTCCAATAAAGCTCTTACCTGTATCTGTAAAAAAGGGAAAGAGACATGCTCACAACAACTTTGCTACCTTCACTTCTTGTGTTTCTGGGATTTCTGCTTCCTTACCTAGAAAGCAGTCTTCCCCCGTGATCCTCTTTGTCCCTTCATTGACATGTCTTCATAGAAACCTAGTGCCTCCAGCCCTGCCTCTGCTCTGCCCTCTCTTTAGAGGTCTCTCATTCTCCTGTACAACTTTTCCTGAAGGATGTAGTGATGGCCTTCTTTCCAAGTCCTGCAGTTCCAGCCCATGCCAACATTGCATCATGCTGCTTTCTCCTTTGAAATGAATTTGGTGAGCTTTACTCTGCTTGTCATGCTTGGATTGCTGTTCTATATTTCCTTCTAATTTCAGATCACAACATCCCCATGTTCTTTATACTACAGGAGCTTGATGCAAAAGCATTTTACTTCTGTCTATCATCTGCATTTTTTAGGAGGGAGTTGTTTGTGCTTTGAACTTTCAGGAGACACATGAGCCATGTGAGGCTATTAAAACCCATGAAGTCAAATTGACTACTTATGAACAAACTTACAATGATTCAGCTACCTTGAAATAAAGTAGCCCTGAACACCTTATTCAAGTTTGTAAACTAGGTTTTCTCATGTCCTCTGAATTCACCCTATTTTTTGTCCCCAATCCTTACAATGGTAGAGAAAGTTTATGGACGTCTCTCTTCGAATGCAATTTGGCTTCAAGCCTTTTAATGCTTTGTTACAAGCTGGGTTAAGATAGACACAGGGCACATGTATCACCTCTCAGTCCCCTAAACAAAGTTTCTTGCTAAAATCACCCTGTGAGGTAACCTGTCAAAGCACCCCCCCCCCCCGCCCGTATCTGCCATTGCCAGAGGAAGCAATGTCTTGCAGTCCCCTTGCTATCAAGAGATTCCATTCCTAATTCCTCCGCTCTCTGAGGAGGGATTGGATATAAGGAAGGGATTTCCTTGTTAGCACTAGGAAGAGAAACCCTTCTGTCTTCATGTGTCCAAGCATGTGTCCATGTACAGCTCCTTGGCATTACCCAATGAAAGGGGTTGTGCATCCCTGACGTAAACAGATAGCTCCTGTGATAGCTCTTCGGTTAGCTTTAGATATACTTGTATCCCATTTTCAGTTAAGTTTTAACTAGCAACTTTAAGAAAAAATTTATCTCCCTTAGTGATTTCACATATGTGGAACTGAGTTGAGAGTGAAGACTTTAGAAATAGCCACGATCTCTGTAAAAAAGAAGGTAAATGAGATGAATTTTGTAACTCTTTCACCTTTATTCTTAAATGTTCTGCAATACATGGAAACTCTTTCACAATCTTTAAAGAGTAATTCCAACTGAGAAAGCTAAATAAAGTGAACTATAATAAGTGGTGTAGGCCTATCATACTGAGACAAAAAGAAGGCTGTAAACAGCTTTGATATTTATTTCCATAAACCATAACAACTTGTGCACAAAAGTTAGAAGAAACCACATTAGTGTAGCAAAAGAAAAAATAATTGTTTACTGCAGAAAACATTGCAAAAGCTTTGCTGTTTGCCTTAGGTCGGTTGGTTGGTCAGTCTCCCTCCCTCCCTCCCTCCCTCCCTCCGTGTGTGTGTGTGTGTGTGTGTGTGTGTGAGAGAGAGAGAGAGAGAGAGAGAGAGAGGGAGAGGGAGAGGGAGAGGGAGAGGGAGAGAGATTGATTCTGAGACTGGGATACACTGCTTCTTTATTAGTCTATTCAAATAGGCTATTCTAGCACATAGTATTTTTCCAATTACTTTTCTAACTATGCAACAGACAGTTTTAAAATCTAAATAATGTAACTTCTGTTCACTTGGCCGGATCCAGAAACAAATGTTTCTGTTTGTTTTGAGACTTGCTTTATGAAACACTAAATTCCCATTGTCCAGGTACAAGATCTTGATGGCAGAATGAAGTTGGCAGGAGTGGAGTGGCTCCATTCGATATTAGCTTTGAGCTCAACTCCACCACTGTCACTTGTAGTAGCTTTTGTATTTGTACTTAGGAAGGGATTCCTGAGTGAAAAATAGGATAATACCAAGAAGAACTGAACACACATTCATGCATTCTGGATTTTTCTGCAAACTGGAGAAAAGTAGCACCTTATACTTTGCAACAAATTTATATATGTACACCCTTCATAAATGTTGGGCTTTTGTTCTGAAGAATGCTTCCCAAGTTCGAAAAGTAGGGCTGCTTCATAGTTTTTTCAAAGAAATTAGGGATTCTGAAATCCACACCACCTGCCTAATTTTCTCTGATTGTGGTAGCCCACATATTGTATAAGAATAAAACCCCAAATTACAGGGGGAATGGGGAGACAATCCATTCCTGAATCTGGTGAGTCACAACAGAGGCACAAGAATGGAAAAACCACAATATATTTTCATAAACATACTCAAATCTGTGTTGAACTCAGTAGGGCTCTTGGTTGCTTCAAATGTTCCATGCACAGTATTCTGGAATGTTAGACCTCCGAGAAGGGAAAGCAAATTTGAATAAGTTATTTTTCTATTCTACTCTATTTTAGAAAAGAAATTAAAAAGTGACAAAACAATCTGAATTATCTGATAAAGAAATGAGGCATTGAGCCATCTATAGAAGTAAGAGAACAGCAAAACCAGCCTTCACTTTAAGCAGAGATGAGAAACCTCTGGCCGATGGAAAGACCCTATACAGACAGACAGCTTTGCTGTTACCCTTACCTCCAATCAGAAATAGAAGTAACTGTATAGAAGTAACTATATAACTAATACATTATGATAGCTTGTTCTACAAAGTACAGACAAGTAGCGCCTTGTACTTTGCAAGAAAATATGCATTTTCTATACATGCACCCATCTTAGGTATTGGGCTTATGTATATTTTGTATTGAACAATATTTCCCACGAACAAGAAGTTGGGCTGCTTCATCAAAACATCCTCATCACCCTGCCTTATCAAAATTCAGTATTTGACACTGGGTAAAAATTACTTAAATCCAAGGGAGCTAATGATGGGTGGGCCCGAGGCACACAATGTGAAATATGTACTTAGCTGAAGCTAAGCAGGTCTATCTGATTACTGCCTGAATGAATGTTCACCAGGAAGCCCCATGTACATTGCTTTATAGAAATGTAGGATATAAATATACTAAATAAATAACTACTTCTTCATTTGATAAAC